TTTTTTTTTTAAAGAAAAAAAGATTTTTTAGGATGAAAGAACGGATTCGGTGGAGCGTATTCTGTCATCCCTGTGCGAACGTTTGCCACGTGAAAAAATGTGGCGTTTTGCAAATGCTGATAAAATAGCATTTGCGCGAAAAAGCCTTGAACGCTCAATTATGGCCCAGATTTATCCGTATGCACTTTATCCGAACGGCGATGCCGATCATTGCCGAGATAGGTTTGTTACATTTTTCATCGCTATACTGAGTTTTTGCTCCCGCTTCTTATGGAGACTGAGTACGGGAAATGTTTTGAATTTTTGATTGGACTTTTCGGCAGTAATGATACGTTCTGTTTTTGCACTGGTTCCCGGAAATGTCACCTTATTGGTATTTTTGCACTTCGTTTGCTTAAAATGACATTTTTTTTAAAAATATTCTGCTTTCCCGGGATTTCTAAGCAGCACTTAATTTATAATTGTGGTAATGATAAGAAATGAATACGACTTAATGGACCGAAATACTTCCTACGATTATTAATAATCTCACAAATTTCCTAATTTTCATTTTTCACCTTTTTTTCCATTCTTTCCTATTATAACTTTCGGTTATAATATAATTCCCTTTCTCTAAAACCGGCTGTTTTGTGATTGCTTGGACCAATACGTCATCGCTTGGCGTTTATCCTGTACTGATCCTTTACATTCGTTTCGTTTTCTGAAACATTTACCAGCTCAGAGGACCTGCCGACATAATACTTGTCTTGCCGAATACCTAAATTTATTTCGTTACTTTTTTAACACAACTTAGCATTTTGTCAAAGTCAGTATTATCGATTGTTTTGCTAGTAAGCAACCTTCGAAAGTGAGAGCCCTGTTACGTACGCCTTTTTATTCATATTTGGTGCTCAACCAGCTAGATTTTCCACCTCTTTATTTTTTTTTCCTGTATTTTTTATTCCTACGGATCCGGTATTCTGTTGGCTACATTAGGCAGAGGAAAATCTCTTCTTTTGTCTCTTTTCTGATTTACCCTTCTCGAATCGTCAATGCATAAATGATAATTGATTAC